GGATGGGTGGGGAAGAGTCCCGGAGGTTTGCTCGGCTTCACACGTCCAGCTGGACCTTTACAACTCCCGGTACTTCGAGTACGTGATGTGGAAGCCTCAGTGAGCACGGACGCCAGCCGGGCCTTACGCGGACAAAAGAAACCACAGGAAGTTGGACGTAAGCAACTCGACCATGGAATGTTCAAGCAACGGTATGCTTCCATTTGCTTACGAATCTTGTTTTATTTCCCCTGTTGGTTTTTGGAAAAGGGAATCTATCACTATTGGACATATGTCGAGTCTTTCCAGGGGGCTCAAGCAAATGGAGGTATGTAAACTTGTACCCGTAGAAGGCCCAGACCTTCCCGAGTGGCCGGCCTATGCGACTGGTTTCGGGCGCCGGGTTTCTGGTGGTTTCGGGCTTGGGGATCGAAACCGCTGAGGCGAAAACCAAATGCGATTCGCTGCGTCGCGCGGGTGATTGTCCTTTTGTTGTTGCCCGTCGCATTTCACAAGGGAGCTAGTTGCGACTGGTCAGCGCGAGGTGCGTGACATGACTTGACAATGCAGAGCCATATTTAATATGGCTGTGGGTCAAAACCAATGGTACCATTTTGGGGTAGGTGCACTACCCATTTTAGAACCTATTTCAGTGGATGGATTGGGATGTTCACTGGGGGCCAACCGGGCTTTTGACCCATGGCCATATGGAGCCCACCAGATTCGTTAGAGGAAATGCTTGAAGCCCAGCAACCCCCAGGTTCAACGTCAGTGGGAGACGCTTTCATAGCCCCGAGGCTGGATGCTGACAACCCCAGCGGGGAGGCACGAGAAGGCGACGACGCAGGCAAGATCAACTGCAATGGAAGGGCTGTCAAAATCGGTGTGCACATCCTTTTTGGGATTGTTTTGAAGGGGAATAAATGAAAACAACTTTGAGAGAGACCTAAATGGATACTCGTTCTCACTCCCCGAGTTTCTGGGCTGCATACTTTTGGGAAGACCCTCTTAGGTGTGAACGATGGTGAACGTAAAGTTTGTTTTGGACGATCCAAAGCGAGCAAACATAAGGTGTTTTTTGGGACGATCCAAAGCGAGCAAAGTTTTTGACCTTACCCAAAGCCTTCAAAACTTTGGCCTTGTTCGGTGCTTCTCTCGCCATGCACTGGCGGAGCGGGGAGCAGCCGCACGGCTGCTCTCATAGTGCAATGGGAACAGCGGGGAAACCAATTCTCCAAGTAATTGGTTTCCCGCGGGTTTGGTGCTGATGGTTGGTGTTGCTGAGAGTTTGATTGCATACCCGCACCGAGAGAGTCCGATCATTAAACTATTTGTACGGTAAATTGAATACGTCGTTCAGCCCTTGTCAAGTAGTTTGTGTGTGTTCTAATGCATCGAAAGTATTGTTGAGGCACATCTCCAGGGGGCTCAGTCATTTCTCTTCAGCTTGGAATGACATTACACAAGGACTTGTGAATAGTGTAGAATTGTGTATAATTTTATAATGTACCCAGTGCTGTTGTTAATGTTGACCCCGAAAGAAGAAGCGTTACGGATTCTTAGAGGTGCTTTCTCCAATTGAACGGGAAAAGGATACCTGAAGTTGGAAATCCCATCAATGGACCTTTTTGGGAATATATGCCAACTTGTTGCTCTTCTTCTGCGGGTTTCAACGACAAATTCCAGGGGAGTCCTCCCACTTTTGAGACTTCCTCCGTGAGAGACCGGTTTTGACTCGCGGAAAAAGCGGCAGGCGCTGTTCCGGACGAGGAGCGACGAGCGGAGCAAACCGCGCAGCGCTTTGGGCTGAAAGGTGAGCGCCCCATTTTGCCGCCCGGGCAACCGCCGAAAGACCCTCATTTTGGGAGCCCAGACGCTCCTGGCTTCGGCTTTCAATGGAAGACCCAACACCTGGCTGTTTGAAGGCCCAAAATACATTGGGCGCGTCTGGGAGGGGTGCTTGGATGTTCGATTCACCAAGTTAGGAAGTTGTGAGCCATTTGGGGTATAAAACCCTATAATAACAAAGTTTACCCCGCTTAGGAGGACTTGCAGAGCATGTTCGAACCTAGGCTACCAACAACTTCCCTTACTAACTTGGCCTGCTTTGGGACGAGCTGTTAACTGGAGATGGAATTGGGGGGACCCCCTGCCCCCGCGGAATGGTGGTTTTCCTTTTGGTTTCTCTTTAAACCAAGCCCAAAAAGGGTACTCTCGAAAAAGACAATTCTGATTGCCCAAGCACACCCTCCCTGTGCTTCGCTTTGCCCACTCCACCATTCGGCCGTCAGCGAACCGCCCTTTGTCCTCCCTTGGCAACTTCCCTCCGATGTAAAAAGAAGGAGTTGCCCAGCTCTTCTCAAGGCGTTCCCCAATGGTGCGTGCCTTTGCCCTGTGCCCTAGGCACGGAAAAAGCCCTCGGCCCCAGTGGAGAGCTCTTGGAATTTATACCGGCGCAATCAAGGACAATCTAGCCTTCTAGTTCGTGTTGCCTTGGCTGCTGGCGCCCTGTGCATGGAGGTGCCAAAAGAATGGCAAATACGGGAATAATACCTCTGTCAACTTCTGAAGACCGGACCATACTATGAATACTATGGTCAGGGGTAGTTCCCCTTGTGCGGGATGATTTCACGGCTTCTGGTTCTTTGGGCTCCGAAGTTGACCTTCGCTCCAGCCGTGCCTTCGGGTCGAACTTTGACCTTGCGACTTTCGCGGGCTGATTCCAAGTGGCCCGGGCTGCAGAAACAAGAGGCTTCCATCACTTTGCCCCACATTCGACCTCCACCTTGGGGAACGAAACCGCACTCCAGTTTACATCTCGAACATCGACCAGCAGAAAAAAGCAGGAACCACCGGCCGCCTAAGATGGTAACTTGCAACCGCGGAGGCCACAATTCCACATGTGTCTTGGTTGTCTTTTGCTTCGCAGGGATTTGACATTGCCCAGCGGCTGGCCCGTTGTTCAGCGGCACCCTCTATATAAATCCGGTTCGGTTTGGTGGCTTCCCGCAAATATGGACTCAACCTCAAAAAGCCACTAAAATGCAATCAACCCCAAAAAGCCACTGAAATGCAATCAACCCCAAAAAGCCACTGAAATGCAATCAACCCCAAAAAGCCACTAAAATGCAATCAACCCCAAAAAGCCACTGAAATGCAATCAACCCCAAAAAGCTAAAATCCTCTTTTTCCTCCGGTTCGGGTTGGGGCTGAGGATTCTGGATCTCCCATCGCCCTGGAGCGAGCGACCCGACATCCCCAGGGAGAAGTTCCACGCGCGATGCTACCAAGGGGACTGGGGTGCGTTTCCGGCGAAGCGCTGTCCGTTTCTGGGCGCTAGATCTCGCTTGTTTAAAGCGAATCGACCTCTAGACCTCCTGGTTTTCCATGAGTCGTCATGGCCCGAGAAGATTGACATCTGTATTTCTGGGTTTTCGGGCAACTGAGGATGGGGTTGTCTCAGAATTTATCAGGGATTGGGACCCAACATGTTGAGTTTCCCTTGGGTTTCGAAAGGGAAGCACCCTCACCTCCGACCATTAAACCAATCCAACCAGGGCAAGGTTGATTTTTCCAATGGGCACAAGGGATGGGTTGTGCTTTGTATCCCGGACCTGCCAATCCAATTTGCAGACTGGTAGGTGCAAAGGGAAGGGAACTGTTGCCCTTAGACTCCACGTGTGAGAACATATCACCTTAAGAGATGTTCGGTAGGTAAATGTGGGGCAATATGATCTTCTGCCTTTGCTTCACTCTTCCTGGCAGGCTTTTTTGTTCTTTTGGTTCTGTTCATTTTTAGGCTTAGTAGGGCTGCCAACAAAACCGGACTCCGCGTTGTGCAAGCGCACAGGGATGTGAGCTTTTGGGTTCCCGTACCATGGAGGTGGGTTGGATCGACAGGAGAAGACCATCTTCTACCACAAGTGCAAGGTGGAGCAGTACGCGCCCTACACCCAGGACGACGGCCTGGTGCAGCGGATCACGCTCTACAAGGCGAGAAACTGCATGAGACCTTCAGCTAGCGCCTAAGTCTCTGGAGCTGACCCTTTCTTCTAGGGGTGGATTCCTTGTCCATGCTTTTCAACCATTCTTTTCAAAAACCGGCTCCCGTTTCCCCTCTGCTTTTGAGGGTTTCCTTTTCTAGGTCCCCCAGCTAGGTGCCCTTTCTCACCCGTGTTTTTTTTCTGGTTGGGAGGGTTCCCCTACTAAAATAGACTACAGACAAAAGTTGGTACCCTTTTTCCAAGCTCTCTACTGAAGGACCTAGCTACCCTTTGTAAGGGAATCCTCAAAACCGGTTCATTCGACCACATGTGATCGCACCAAGCGCAGTGGAAATGTTTGTCTCTTTCAAGGGGGAACATGGTCCAAACCCGGACCCCGGGCCCCCATGGCCCCCGGCCGCTTGTCAGAATCTCAGGTTCCGTGTGAAAAGGCTGGGTCGGCCCCCTGCAGACCATGGGAAGATCGAAGCCACAAGCCTCAGATGCATGGAGACTAAGCCTTGAGATGTTGAATGCAAATCAACTGAGATGCCCCGCCCATGTCCAACCCCTGACTTCAAAAACCGGCGTGACTTTCTTGCAGATAAAAGTGGAGCCCACGAAAGTAAAGAAAGAAGAAGAAAGGACTGACTTTTAGGAACAGAATCTCCTTTTTGGGTTCATCCCTTTGAGGGCGATGGAATTCCTTGGGTTTCACTTTTCCCGGCAAGCTGGAGGGATGCGAGCCGCGTCCAAAGGGAAACTCCCACTGTTCACTGCTTGAACCAGGCCTGCAGTGGCATTGGGGTTGGGCCTCCCTCGAGTTGGTGGCTTGGGGTATCAAACTACCAAGAGGCTTGAGAGGTTTTTCCATGAAGCGATGGTCTTTTCCGGTTCCATGGCCAATGGAGCTGATGTTGGCTGAGGGAAGTGGTCACTGGTGAATGAATGATCTACTGGTTCGGAGAGCGCAAGCCAACATCTCTGATCCCCGAAAGCTTCGTGAAAGGGAAGTCCCCATGTGACCTCGTTGGGTTCAAGAGTGTCCTTCTTTGAAGGCGTGGAAATCGCTGGCTTCGTGTGGGCCTCCCATGGCCAACCAAGAACCAGCTGGCTGTCTCTTTCTTCAACAAAAAGCGGAAACGCATGAGCTACCGAAGAAGAACAAAAAGTTTCCCCCTTTTGCCCCTGGAAATACGCTGGGACTTCTATGGGAAACCAGGCTGGGGGGGGCCCTGCAAACCTGATTTTGAGAGACCCAGACCGCCCCGAGACCGCCCCGAGTCAAGGGCGTTGTGTTCGCCTTTGACTTAAGACTTTCTGAAGCAGGCCAAACAAAATAATCGTAGGCAGAAGGCCAAAAGCTATAGGCACGCAAAAGTTGGGAAGCGACTCGGCCAATCGAGCCCAGGGACAACAAAAAGAAGCCGAGTTTGGACCCTCTGGGTTCGCCCGAGAAGGCCTAGTTCGGAATGGCAAGTTGGGCCGAATTCGGAAGGCGTTGGGAGGCATGGGGCCGTGGCTTGCAGGACGTACGGCGCCAGATTCCCCTGGAGATCCGGGAACGGTTCAAGCATCGCAACTGGGATAGGTTTGGTTCTGAATGTGTTTTGTTTTTTCCAGGGTTCCAGGGTGCGAGGTTTAAAGTGGGGTTGGGTAGGGTTTTTGAGTTGTGACCACTCCCTTTTCAGGATTGCTGGTTGGTGGTTGGGATCCAAACCTCCAAACCACTCATCCAAACCGCACTTCGAGGGAAGCTGGTTGGTTTTTTCTATCGGAAGTGGACAGGACAGGTGGCTTGTTCCTTTGGGAGGTTGACCTTGCCTCTGTGGTTTAGGGCTATATAGTACCAGGACCATTTGTTAGATTCTGGTTCTACCAAGACGGCTTAGTAGGTGGTTTACGAAAATGGGTGGCTTAGTAGGTGGTTCCACCCAAAAACGTGCTGTTCAAGCAGTCAGTTGGCTATTTATCTGGCAAGTGCCAACGGGCTGTAAGCCGAGCTCGCCGTGATGAGGGGAGTCTTAGTATGTCATGCTTTTGCCCATCTGGTGGAACTTGCAAGAAGGTTTCAGGATTTTTGCTGAGGTCCGGGTTCATCTTGGGGGAGGGGGGCGGGCGGTAGCTTTCAGATTGACCATCCAAGGCAAGGACAAGCTCTTTGAGCGGAAGCGCCGCCCCATGCAGAACGCCGCTCGGCACCCACGAAGAACCCGCTGACTCGAAAGGTGTGATCTTCATGCGATTCCTTTCAATACCTGGGAAACCACCGGCCGGAAAGGGAATTTCCCCGTCACGTTGGTTTCCTCAACGAGAAGGCACCCCCTAAGTCCATGTTGGTTCAGTCATTTTGACTTGTTCATCGTGGCATCCACTTTCCCCAAGGCTCCGAAATTCCAGGCTGGCTGAAAACTGTCTGCGCGTTCAATGACTTTCAGCCTGGAATATATGTCTACGGTGTGAGAGTAGATGGCGCAATTCCCTTCAGGATGGTACGTAAAAGGAATATTGCCCAACCACATAGGGAATTTTACGGGATTCCAACTTGTTCCCTACTTACTTGACTGCTATTGGGTTGGATCTTTAGACTTTAACTTTTTGGGAACTCAGGTTGGGTTTTCCACTAAACCCTCAAAAAGTGAAAAACTTTTTGCAGAGGGGTCAACAGCATTAAAGCTTACAGTTTTGAGTTGGCATCCACCGGGGAGCGGGTTGGTTTGGGGTTAGTTTAGGAGACGGTGGAGCGCTTCTTGCCGGGGCGGCCCTCCACCTCCGCCTCCAACGCCGGCGGTGCCTTGAAGGAGTTCCGCGAGGACTGGTTCACTGAGCCGTTTTGCGTCGCCCGGTTTGGGATTTGGGGTTGCTTAAGAGGGTGGGATTTTCTAGGGGTTGATTCCTGTTCCATTATTTTCAACCATCGTTCTTTAAAAAAAAAAAAAAAAAAAAAAAAAAAACAGTCAAAAACCGATCGATTTTCCCTGGGTTTCCGGAGGTTTTCTAGAAAGATCCGGATCCCTGGAAAGAAAAGGTACCAGTAGAAATTTGAGTTTGTGTTTGCCTGGATTCTCTCTGTTTGCCCTGCTGAAGCTTGTAAGTTCAGGCGGGTGTTGCGCTGGCCGCCAGTTTCTGTGGCTGCTCTTTTGGAGTCTCTTCCAAAAGCCTTTGTTCTGGCAGGGAATGGGACCACCCAGAGGCTCCTGGGGCTTTCAATGGAAATCCCGACCCCTCCATTAGACACCCCGGAGGTTGGTTGGGGGTCTCAAAACCTGGCCGTTTGAGGGCCCCAAGTTTCTATTCGGAGCCTTGGGGCAAATATAGAACAGAGTCAGAAAGTCGGTTCGAGGGGTGCTTAAATGGGGCTGAAGGATGGTGGGGGTTCTATTTTCAGACAAAGCCCACAGAAGGGTGTCTTTGAGGGTACCCTTTTCAGCTTGGCTTGCAGGGACGCCAAAAGGAAACCGCTCTGTTTTGACTCTATTTAAGTATTTGGACACGCCCATATTGAGTTGGACACATTAGAACGAGCTGATCCGGAGGGTAAAACGAGCGAAAAACCATGATGAAGGTTCTTTACCTTGCTTCCGCTTTGGGAGTTGTAGCAATTTGCCAGCAAATCAATCAGGTCCCTTCAACGAGCTTCCGCGGAAAAAAGGAATTCCACGGCTGCATTGTGGTGCTGCCTTCTGGTTCACATGTCCGCCTCTGGGCATGAGCTTTGTGCTAGGATGATTCCCTTCAACCGCAACCGATGCTGTAAATCCCTTTCTGTTCAGCCATGTTCTTAGCTTTGAACGGGTGGGAAGCCCTTGCCTACTATTTACCCAGCGCATCCCAGTGGCTTACCACTGGACTCACCATGGGTCGGCTGTCAGATCTCGGCGTTGAGCCGAGAGCTGATCTTCTACAAGTCTCGCTTGGACGGCCTCGTGCGCTCCGTGGAGATCATCGGCAGGCGGGGGAAGAGAGAGACAGAGCCGTGCGCCAGACAAATGGGTATGGGTCAAATTTAAACCAGCAGGAGACCCTTAGTCCTTGCTTCCATTTACCAATGTTCCATTTTGGGTACCTAGATTGGACCCACACCCAAATCAACGGCGTAAGTGAGTGCGGGTCCTCAATTTTCACTGCCAGCATGTTGATGCCCCAAAGGGTCCGATCAATCGCATATGGGGCCCCGCAAAGTAGGCCCTTTTTGAAAAATACGTTTCAGCTGCTCGGTGTGTACGAAGAAAGTGCTGATCAAACCCTTAGGGTAGTTTGCATCACCTGGCAAAGGGAGCTTCCCAGGTTTTTGTGATGTGGGTAAGCCTACGGCCTGTCAGGAAGATGTTTGAGTACTTCGAGGATCGGGACGACAGGTTGATCTACCACTCGGCAGCTCGGCACAATTCCCACCTTGCTCCCCAGGTTAACCTGGACCCGGATTTTTGCTGGATGATGGTTTGTTCTTTTGTGGGGAGCCTTGTTTGTGGGGAGGCCGTGCGAATGTGTGAAATTGAGAAGTTCTAAGCGCAGCCATTCTGGAGGTCAGATCCGCCAAACCCACCCCAGAAAGTCCGCCGAAACCGACCCGGCGAAGCTTGTATGAAGAAGTCGTGCGCTTCGGGGTTGCTGTTTGCAGGCGAAGAGAGTCAATAATACGGACCATGGTTTCCATGATGGACGTTAACAATGGCTTTGCCATGATTGATCGGATAGAGAGTCTTCTCTTAAGGCCCCGCAAATGGGCGGTTTGCCATAAGGTCCTACGATGATGTTGGCCCATTCTTGTTGCGAAGCCGGGATGTTCATGAAGCCCTGGCGCCCCGGGCCTGTTGCCATCGATGCGGAACCGTTCATCCCTCACCGGGGAAACATCCCCTCGGTTGCAGCAGGTTGATAAATGAGGATTCCCTTGGAAGGAATCCGGGGAGAACTGCAGGGTTCAGCAAAATAACTATTCTGAATGGGGTCTCCAAATTGGTTGAGGTTCTCGTAATTACTGCAGTGTTCCTTGGTTGCTGCGCATAGAAGTTGAGCCCCGCGTTGCTTGGGAATAGAAGGGCCCTGGCAGTGCACGAGGTCACACTGGATCCCACAGCCACTCGAGGGCAAAAGAGCAAGGACGCGGTGAGTTGCTCGAGGTTCGGAATTCGAGATGTTCTTTCCCCAGCTACTGGCTGGACGAAATCCTGCACCACCGCAGACTTAAGAAACCTGGACTGATGAGTCCTCTATAAAATCCAAGGTTAATCTTGGCTTCCCACGGAATTACATTCCTGCGAAGGGACTTCGCAACCATCCCCAGCTATGGACTCTTTGCCCACTTGTCAGTGCACCTGAAGGGCTGGCAGGGCTGGGCATCGGTGGGCTTCGCGCTGGCTTAGGCGGTTTGCAGCATGAGTGTTGGGCTTCTTGAGCCTTGAGCTTCTCAGCTCCAGCCGGGTTTTGAAAGGATGGAAGCAGGTAGGGCAACTTCTTCATGAAAATGTGACGGGACAAGACCCTTCGATCCGTCGATTCCAATCGATATATCTTGGAAGGCGGCTATAAAGGATAGATGACGTACAGTAAGAGTGCTTGAAAGTCCTAAGCGTGCCTTGTTTCCCACGGCTACTGCGCCACCTAGTTTGGGTTTGGAAATTTAGGTCACCCCAGGTACTCCCAAACCAAAACCCACAGACCGGCAATTCTGGGAGTTGCTGCAGGCAGAGTTTCTTTTTGTGTGCTTTGGGCTTAGTTAAATCCGGGCGGGCGGCCCTTTTGCGCCATCTCAGTGCAGGACACCTACCCAGTGGATTCGGTGGGTGAGGTGCCAATCAAGAAGATGACCGAAAAGTATGCACGGAACCCTGAGGCCTGATGGGCTGGACGAATGTCTTTGGTCTAAGATTATGGGCTGGGCTGCAAGAGGGGTTGATCCCATTAGACGTCGATGGCGCATAGGCTTTCCAGGTGCACCATTGCTTGTTCCCCACCTTCAACACCTGGAGTGTAGGAATCAAGGGTGCACACCAACGGGAGTCCAGAATTGAGAAACCCCTGGTTGATTCTCGGGGGGAGTGTCCCTTTTTCACGGGCAAACCCCATCGCTTTTCGGAGAACCCCCCTTATAAATCAACCGCGAGCTTGATTACAGTAATTTGGGTTGGCTAGGTTCTCCTTTCCCAGGCTGCCGCCGTTTGCCATTCCAGGGTGCCTCATGGGGCAGGTGTCTCTGTTGACACAATTTCACGAACAGCCTGGTTATGCCCGGTGTCCTCTTGGTTTCCAGCTCAAGCCATCCCATACCGATGGCGCTGGTTGAAAACATTTGAAAACGGCTCCTTTCGCGCTGCCCATCAGAGCCGAGATATGCCTCAGCACATGATCCCCACCTCATCGTGCGGAAGGGGGGGCGGGGTGCCCACTGAATGTTAGCCAATGTTGGGCGGGTGGGAGGAGGGTATGCTTGTTTGCTGTGTTTGTTTAACTTTTATGATTATTATTATGATTATTTTGGGAGAGCCGCTTTTCACTGAGTTTTTGTTGAAGACAACATGTCCCTTCCAAAATATCCAAACATGTGTGGAAGGGCTCAATGGAAATCATGCAAGCATACGCCCTTGCTTTTAACAGGCAAGTGTCACCGACAGCAATGCTGCTTTCCTTCTCCCAGAGGGACACCAGAACGGAATGTGTGTTGAGTGGTGCTGAAAGCGAAGGTGCCAGCAGAGGAGGACATTGCGAAGATCAGCTCCTCGCTTGCAGTCCGTTTAGCCTACTCAATACGTGGGCTACATACAGCCATGGTGGGCCCAACCACTGGTACCCCACGCGAAAGGTCGCTTCAAGATTCAAGTTTGAATCTGAATCTGCCTCAAGTGTTCCCTGTCTTTCAGCCTCAAGAAGGGTACAGCATTTCCATGGGCTCAAGCCCAAAAATCCATGGTGCAATGAACGACGTTGCAGCGGAGCCCAGTCAATTGCCTCCTGATTTTTTGTATGCGAGCTCAAATGCAAGACCACGAAAAGGCGGTCGTGCCTTGGGCCTTGCGGGAAATGATCTAGTAACTATATGAGGTGAGGACACCAGCCACTCAAAGGGATCCAACTTGGCAACTTCGGTTGCATGGACGTAGGTCAGTCAGTTGGTCACCAACCCTCGATTCAGCCTTGTTCAGAAAGCTGCGACTATGGGCTTTTCTGGCACCACCCCTTTTTTACACCGACAATCAAGAATCAAGAACTGCGTCAACTTCCATTTTCTACTGACTTTGGATGTAGTTTTGGATTCTAATATGTACATACATGTATATATTCATGTTATGGATGTATATGATATGTATGCTTATGTACACGTCTACTTTACTCATCCTGAGGCTTCTACCTCACGGAGCAGCAGAACAGCTCCATCTACTCCACGGGGAAGATCCGGGTGGACTATCACCGGGAGCCGGGCTCCTTAACCTTCCGCGCCTCAGCTGTGGGTCAATCGCTTCTTTGAGCTGGGCTCGGTTTCGCACCTTCGAATGCGGCCCAAAGTGAAATCGACCTGTGGCACTTTTTGGCTTGCGTTTTTGTTCCAACCCATCTAGCCGAATCTAGCCTGAATGTGCAGAAAAGGTCCGGTGACTTGCAAGTCCAGTGGGTGGCAATCGGCAACAGAGAAAGCGGCAATGTGTCCTTCAGAAGCACCAGGCGGGCTTAAACTGTTGAAATTCAATTATGTTTACGTGGACGCACGTCTTAAAATGAGTTCCCTTTAGTCTCAGAGTCTCCCTTCAAAAAGGGGTACCCTCAACAAGACACCCAATCTGCATTCCAGAAACCGATGCATCAGAAGTTCCATTGCAAATTAGGCTGCAACCCAATGAACCCTCGATTCTTCGAGGAATCTCCTTGTGAGAGAACCTCTCTTTGGGTTCCAGCTTCATCCGCAAAAAATCCGACGTGGATGTGCCTTTTTTGAGGGTGTCCTCATTTTTTTCAGTGGCTTTAAAGGGAAACCAAAAGAAACCCCACCACTTTGAGGGTTGCCTTTTTGGGGGGGGGCTGGTTCAGGCTGAAGTTTGAGGCCGTCATCACACACCCGGCCGCTCATTCGGCTCGCTCAGGGCAATGCATGTATCACTACAAGGACGGCAACCTCAACCGGGTACCCGCGAGCATGCCGCAGCCCACGCAGGCCTCCAATTTGCGATTCGCGATGAGGGATGCGGATGTCTTACTCAGTTGTTCAGTGGCACCATTTTTGTTCCCCCTTTTCTTGGTGGTTCCCCAAAAATTGTCCCAAAAATGGGTTCCCTTCCCTTAGGGTCCCGCGTACGCTCTCATACTGTACATGGAAGTTCCGTCAACTTCCGTCATGTTCGGGAGACAAGTTGCGCGCCCGATCATGCTGGGGCACTTTTCTTTTTTGGGGGATGGGGAAGGCGGAATCGCTTTCCTGCCACGCAGCCATTTTTCTCAAGATTCCCAGCTTGAAGCACATCAAGCTACGCGCAGCCCTCAGCCCCTTGAAACCCATGAGCTCACGCGGAATCTGAATCAGAGAATGAGTCGAAGTCATCCATCGACATGTGATTTTGAATCCTCGGTCAGATCAGTGTTGCAAATAAATTTGCAAATATGTCATGTGTTTGCAGTTGCCACGCAAGGGGATGCAAACCAGGACTCCCCAAAAAGTAGCGGCGAAGTACAGCAGCTTCGAGAGCACCGCGGTGACAGCCACTTGCTAGGCCTCATGCAAAATTTGCGCCTGGGGAACATGCCTAGCTGCGCAATATCGACACTCAGCTGCTGGCTTGCTAACTTTCCCACAAAATCCTCCGTGGCGAACGCATGGTAGTGCCTGCTGTTAATGCCTGAGCATTGCGCGCCGTCTAGCTTTATTTGGGTCTGGACTTCCACACATGTTCTAGCCAAGCAACGTTCCTTGCACTGCCAGAAATTAATTTCCTGATACCCCTTAGCTGCAATTGATCTCGCGCAAGCGAGCTCCACTTTTCCACATTCTCAACTCATGGCAAGCCACATGCAGCTTCGGACGGCACGGGTAGAGCAGCCTGCCCTCACGGACTGATGCGTTGGCCAAAGTCAGGTATGCGAGCATGAACCCGTCCTTGACCCGGCCATGACGCTTTGCAATTCAGGAATCCCAAGCTGTGGGTTTTATTGCCAGGGCTCGCTCAATTCCAGCATCTTGTGCGCCTCGTCGTGGCTGAGGTAAAGGCTGCAGCCTTCAGAGACGCGATGCCACTCCGACAGGTGCCACCTGGGCCGGCGTTGGTTGGGAGGGTACTTCAAATTGTTGATGAGTCACGCGTTGAATGCCAAATTCAATCAGGTAACACTGCGGCGGCCATTAGCCCCACACGCTCATCAGAGGGCCCTTTCTCATTGGCCAGCGCTACCAAGACTTCGGCAAGCCACGAACAAATTATGCGAGCCTTGGGTGAACACCATGCCAGAAAACCCTCACGATTCAACATCAGTAGGCCTTTTAGACCAAGAGGCGTTCCACGCTTTAGCTGCGAGTGTTGGATACGGCCCCATGCTTGCAACCCGCACCCTGGAAGGCGTGAATTTTGGCTGTGATTGCCTCACGTGCGGCTTCGGCCCATGAGCAGGTAATTATAATGCAACTCAATGGTGATGTTGACATGTGTGGATCCTGCAGTTGGGGCGCACAATCTTGTTGGCGCGGCACCATGCCACATACTCGTCGAATGCGAGAGCAAGGCGGCATGCTGGGTCCAGTTGATCACCGCCCCACACGCTGTAACCAGTCAACAACTCATCAAACACTGATCCCATCAGAATGGGTTCCAGTCCTAGATTTAAAGTGTGCATTGAGCACCATTTGACCATTTGAGGAGAGAATCGTGGGAGAGAAACCAATGCACCTAAGCTTTCACGAGATGTGATCCGAAATGTGTACCCCAATTGATGTCCAACATTTGAAGGTCGAGTTGCTGATAGGCTGCTTGCAGCATTCTGCAATGAAACCGTCTTGGGTATCCTGCCGGTGTTCGAGATGCAATTGAGAGGGAGCATGCGCGTAGGCATTCTTCGATGCGTTGCAGTGATAGCATATAGAGCTGGAGTTCCACGCACGTCTCAAGTTCAGCCACTCCTGAAGCAAGGGTTCTAGTAGCAGGACTACATGATGAGTGATGAGGTCAACATGAAGCCTCAAAACAAGTCGTTGAGTCCTTTTGGAATTTCCAATCCCCTTGAATGTGGCAAATCATTGCACTGATATCCCCTTCACGCCCATCTCCAAGCGGGACCCCAGAATCCAAAATCTTCATCGATTCAACAACCTCGGCTGGCAGGTGGCGTGATGGCAGGACAAGTGTCAGGAGTCAGGACGCACGGGTTTTGCAAAGTTCCGGATGCTGCCAAGGGTCAGGCCCCAAATAGGCTTGCAGCGTTGGAAAACCAACACTGAGGTCCTCATACTGCGTTGCAACAAACTTGCTTTTTTGTTTTTCGATCGAATTGATCAATTTTTGCCAAGGGTCTGCCCGGTACACGAAAAGCGGCCAGCAGGTTTCCCAGGATAGTGTTCGCGTGTCCAATATCGAACCCATGCAAACCACAACCAACTTGTGATTCTGCTCGTCGAACACACAGTCGTCGCCCCATAGCCAACAAGGGTGCGTGCAGTCTGATGTAGCGGAGTAACTGCAAGAAACATCCCGTAAGTGATTCCAAAATTGCGTCACTTCATCAGGGCTGGTTTCTGGAAAAACCCGCGACCGCACCAGCCACGGGAGGAGACGATGGGGTAGCATAATCGGCATTTTCCTGGCATTCGTTCATGAATTTTGGGGGACCTTTAAAAAAACTACTGCGAATGCCCTGCCTGATTTCAACACCATTTGGCCCTCGCTCTTTCTGGATGGGCACATCAATCCAATCAATTGGAGCCTCATTTGTGGATTCAACAACTTGGCAAGTTCAATCAAAAGAGTGTTTGACATTTACCTGCAATTGGGGCGCTTGATCATCGTTGTTTGACTGAACTTGTCGAAGCATGTCCCTCTGGATGTTGCTTGAGTGAGCCCCTGATTTGCCGGCTCTCTTGAGCTTGGCACAGGGACCTTGAAGGTGAACCCCGTGATATTTGAACTCCTGGAAGCAGCGTGTCAAACAATCAATTTGGATAGTGGTTGTGTCAGCTGCATCCCTGCCTTGCCAACTGCGTGAAGCACTTCTCGAGCGGATTGAAAGGAATTGTACTCAGTCATGCTGTCGTGGGGATGCTGAAAGAAGCCAATTCGGGCACGCAATCCCACAATTAAGCTAAGGCTCTCCAAACCCAGTCCTCTCCATCAGATAGGTGTACAAAGGTGAGGTCGTCGACTTGGAAAGGTCTCGCAAATGCAGACCTGCGTGCGGAGCACCCTTGCAATTGCAGTTGCACAATGTGGCGCAGGGTCCCTCACACATGTTTCTTTTCGATGCGCATCCGATCCGTATCTGGCCATGAAAGCCGCGACTCCCCATCGCTCAACCCGCTCAAAGCCCGGAAGCCCATGACTTGCTCCCACCAAGAGAATGATATTATGAGCGTGCGGTTTGCTCGTAAACTTTTGTCATGGGCTTTTTAATGGGCCACAGAGCAGGATTCGTCAAAAAGCTCACACTACTGGCAAACCAACAGTGTGCCGTGCGGTTCCTAGCCAGCCCAGCCCGTGGATCCATACACACTATCGATGGTTGTGTCAAACTTGAACTGTGTTTTTCTTGGATCTGGCTCATCGCTGCCGGAGGATCACTCAGCTCGCGGGCATGGGGGCAGCCTTTGCCTTGCCCTTAGCCTTTGGCTTTGGTGGGGCCTTGGTCGACCAATCACTGAACCAGATTTGCGTGGGTGGAGTTGAAAGCGTCAACCAAACACGACAGTTAATTGGAATAAACTTGTGCCAATTGGTACCAGGCTGCAATGGCAACCTTAATCGTTTTGAGGGACCCGGCAAGCTTGGAAACTGCCGCGTCCGCGTTCCGGAGAGCCACCAAGTGTTCATCTTTCAAAGCCTGGCTCGCGTTGATGGCTTCCTCATCGATTTTAGCGTAAAGTGTTTCAAGTCGGTTCTTGCACTCCTCAAGGTTCGACTTGCAACTCTCAAGCTCGGAAGTGTAGCCAGCCACCAGCTCCGGCGACCTCAAGTCCGTTTCATGACTCCAAACTTCCAAATTTCTAGGGACAAAGAGAGAGAGAGGGAGAGAGAGAGAGAGAGAGAGAGAGAGAGAGAGAGAGAGAGAGGGAGAGAGAGAGAGAGAGAAGAGAGCGAGAGAGACAGAGACAAACAAATCAAAGACAACAGAAGGAAAACAAACATCAAAGCGGGATTGCAGGTCAAAGGGCAAAGTAGCAGCTTGGAGTTTGCTGGTCCAACTCATGATCTCTGTGAGCTTGCTGCTTAGAGCCTGGATCTTGGCACCAACAAGCTTCTGCATAGTTGCCGGCTTCGGAGCCTTCCGCTTTGTCTGATCGCCTGGCCCTTTGCCAGGCTCCGGAATTTTGGGAGCAGCCTCCAGCGCGGGACCCTGTGACGCGGCTGCCTGCGAACCACCACGCAGCCTTGCCAGTCCAAAGGATGGCCTGGGCATGTTGGTGCACCCTGAAAAAAAGCCTTTGCTATCAATTTCAAAAGATGTATAGGGATCTACGGCTGGTTGAGCTATGGCGCAGGAGCTGCTTGGTTTGCTTTTCGTCTAAGGCACCAGAGGCAGTGATACCACCCTCAACCTTATCGGACTCATTGTCCTCGTACTCCAAGCTGTCAAAGACACGGAAGAGTTCCATCTCCTGTCAAGGAATTTTAGTCAGACAAGTTGAATTGTTTCAAACTGGCCTCACCCTGGTTTGTGGGAACCGTCGATGAAAATAATTAGATCGATGTATCCGGGTCCTGGCTTTGTGGAAAGTCTGGATGCGCCATGCACCACGGCTGCTCTTCTGGGGTGCGTTTCTCCTCCAGCTCTTTTTTGCGAGCTTTGAGGTCTTTCGCCATCGCAGCCCCAAACATGGTTTTTAGCTGGGAATAGGTCTTCATGACCATCTTGCCCTTTTTGCGTTGCTCGATAGTCTTGCTCGCGTTGAGGTACAAGCTGCTCGTCAGCCATGATTCCCCCGACTGTAGCCAGTCTTCAAATAATGTGCTGATCAAATGA